CAGACGACAAAGAGGACGAAGACTACGCAGATGAGAAGGGGCTCGAAGACGCTGACGAGAAGATGTTCGAAGACTCGGATGACAAAGAGGACGAGGAAGAAGGAGTAGAGGTCAAGGAAGATGAAGACGTGGACGAAAAGATGTTCGAAGAGGATGATTCCAACGGGAAGCTGTTCGACGACGAGGATTCCAGTGAGAAGCTGTTTGACGACTCTGACGAGAGAGGGACAGTGAGGGGCATGGGGAATGTGAAAGACGAAGGGCCCCTCTCCACAGGCAGCAGCTTTGTCCTCAGTAGCAACGACGACGTCGACGACATTTAATCCCTTAAACTTGCTTGGTAGGGAGCTTCCTCCATCCGCATTCTGCCCGTGCTCCAGGGTAATTGCTAGCAGTGTTACATGAACGTGTGCCTAGTGGTAGGATGCCAGCAGAATAATGCATTGAAGTTTTCACTGTTACCTGTACTTAATGATTTTAAATCTGTGTTAATTGGCCGGCCATTCAGGTAAAACTTCATAGTATAATGCAAGTCAGCTGTGTACTTGTCCTTTGTCAGATTTGTTAAATGCATGCAGAGTAATATTTTTTAAAGTATTCTGATTGAAGTTTGTGATAATTCAAAAATAAAAAAAGTTGTTAATATGCCGAAACTGGAAAAAAAAAAAAAAGAGGATCACTCTCTAGCCTATACATGTCACATGCCTTTCAATAAACCGAGTATGTTTTCTTTCTTCAAATGCCTCTTGAAGTCAGCTTGTAGTCACCTATCACTCTCACGGGGCTCACATCTAGCTTATCTGCCCCCCCTTACTCCCCACTCACTATCTGTTTCTGACCTTGCCACTGTGGTCTTCCAGTAACTTGAATTAGATGAAGAACCTCCCAAGGCAACTTCTGCTAAAACTCAAATTATATTGTTTCAGCAAACTCAACATCAAAGTGCTAACATTTTTCAAAATGCCATTTTCAAAGCATTTATCTGTTCAATGAAAAATGACTGTGTGAACTGTGGCTAACAGGGTTTAATACCTACTTTTCAGATAAGGTGAAAAATGTCTTTTCATAATTTTGTATATAGAATAAGCTGCAAGATTTTGAAACTCACATTATCTAGTCATGAGTTAATTTATTTGCTGTTTTGAAGACACTTCAATTAATAAAGATATAATAGAATTTTAAATACTGAATTTCCTTAAGGAAATAAAAGGATACTGCTGATAGCCTCCGAGGGGATGTATATAAGCAAGTACATGTATCAAAACAGTGCACCTCTAGATAGAATGGAATGATCCAGTTTTTCTTCTATAGAGATGGCAACAATAATACCAAGATCAGTAGATCACAAAAAATACTGCACCAGAAGGTTTTAGTAGTAGCAGCACTTATAACACATGGTTGAACAAAATTAACTAGCTTTTAATTAATTATGTCAACAATTATAATTAATGCATATATTTTCACACTTTTCATGTAGATTCTTCTGATATTTAAAAGTAACAACAGGAATACTAAATTTACTAGAAATGGGAAGAAGACTAGATATTTTCCTCATTAAAAAAAAGAATGACTCTGGTAAAAAAGAAATACGAATTTGCCATTACTGGCTTTAAATATCAGTTTAAAGGTCTAGATCTGTCTATAATTAGATTTTGTAGTAAGTTCCCTTTCATGAAACCTCTTCTACTTAAAAGGAATTAGGTCAGATTTTTATAAAGGCAGTAAGAGTATCTGTGACAGATGATTGAAATTCTCCATTGTTCCATTAAAATGTGCCCTTTTGCCTGCCTACACCTAGTGCTGAGTAACAGAGTGGCCATGGTTGCTATTACCGGCAACAAATCATATCCACTGAGATTCAAAATGGAGATAATATACACTTCATTCATCCATCCATCCACCCACTCACTCATTCATTCATCACTCAGAGCTTGTCCTAGGTAGTAGGGCGGGAGTTGGGGTCAGAATTGCTAAGGCACAAGTCCATGCTCCAGATTTTCAGATTGGTAAGGGAGATAAGAAACACACTCAAGTAACTATTAGGTGGTATCAGGAAAGAGAAAAAAACACCCACCATGATCATTCAGGAAAGGAATGTGAAAATCTAGTTTTTAATGCAGTATAAGTTAAAAAAGTATCTACCAGGAGTTTCTTTTTTTCTTCTTTCTTTCAGGAGTTTCTAAGTGACATTTAAAAACTGACTTGCAATTGGAAGTAACAGTAGAATTTATAAATTCAGTTGTGAAGATGGCCACATCAAACTTAACCTTTCAATTCTGGCCTTGATTTAATTTAGAATTCTGCTTTCCTTTCTGTCCAACATAATTATTTTCAAGGACAGACTGGAAAAACATAGTCCTGACCAGGGTCAATTATATCAATTTTCCTTTAAGATTTATAAAGATGTATAGTTTTCAATACATACTTTTTTTCTGATTATGAAAGTAAAACATAAAAAAAAAAGTAAAACATGCTCATTATTACAAATCTAGACAAAAAAGGAGGTAAAAAAGAAATTTTCTTATTACCTCCACCCAGAGATAAAACTGTTAATTTTATCATATCAAATAGAAAACACATAAAATTTAATGAATGGAATATCTTATAATGAATATTCTACACTCAATTCAAGGGCAAAAATGTGTTCATTATATACTTACAACTTTGTTCTTATAGAATCTAACAGATACATACTTGACATACAGTACCACACACACACACACACACACACAGACAAATCTGAGTGTAATGCCATGAATAAGAAGAGTGGTAAACCAGAACTATTCTATCAGAATGTTGTGCAACTGCTAAATTATGAAATTATACCCAAATAAAATAAAACAAAAAATTCTGGTTCAGAAACTTGCCAAAATTGTTCAAAAACCCTAATATAGGAATGTTAGTATATAAAAAGTGCACAGTATCCAAAAACCATTACTCTGGACAACTGGGCTTTATAGGCAAAGCAATAAAAATTAAAGAAAGGGATTCCTGGCAGGATGGTACAGGGCAGAAATTTCCAAACCTGTCTTCACAGCACACTGAGTGCCTTAGTAATTTTTTCATGGTGCCCAAGGCCAAAAGAAGTAACTAACAGTTCTGTTAATTACATAGTCGGGGCCAAACCATTTAATAAATATATATGTCCTAACAATTTAGTGGCCATTTAAAAAATAATACCCATATATTGAAAGAAATGTATTTTTATTTCAGTCTCAAATAACCACAACCACTGACTAATGAGATACGTGCAATCTGATGGGAACTGCATGACTTCTCAAATCTTGGAATCAAATCCGAGAATCAGACCTGATTTTTGTGCAGTATTTACTTTTTATCACAGCCACTGCAGGAAACCAAACTTTGCAAAGATATGATGTTATCAAAAAAGAAAGCCACAGGGATCTAATGATGAAACTGGGAACTCTCTCGAACTAGAGGTTCACAAAGTGTCTGACAGATGTGGAATATCTCTGTGTTTCCTTCAGAAATTTAAAATAACCCATGATGCCCTTGTGAATTTGCTGTGGCACTCCAGAGAAGCTGGCTTGGTAGGAACTCTAAAATAAAGGCTGTCTTTGAAAAATCTGGTGCCTCTGATATATAAATTGCTGGTCATTTTATTACAGAGCACATATGTACAAATTGGGATACTATGACAGATCATTTTATAGACCAAGAGAGCTCTGTTATTGCTTCTTCTTTTCCTTTAACAAAAGACTGCTAAAGTTGCAGATTTTTTAATCCGTTTGCAAGTAATAGCCACCTACTGGATTATGTGTTTAATTATGGGATTATTTATTATAAAGGTAGACTGGAGGATTATGTAGGATTATTTATTTTAACAAGTACTTGCATGGGTAAGAGCACACCAGAGTCTAAAAGTGGCTCTCCAGGGTCCTACTGCCCAGTGGAATGTATGTTTTATGGGGACTCCATGAGAGAAAGGTTCCTTTAGTCTACCTATAAGTACGGCTGCAGATGGAATTAAGGTTGCTAATCAGTCGACCTTAAAATTGGGAGATTACCCTGGATTATCTGGGTGGACTCAATGTAATCACATGGATCCAAGTGGAAGGCGGGGCAGAAGATGAGAGCTCAGAGGAAGATGTGACTTGGAAGAAAGGTGCAGGTGATGTTGTATGAGAAGGACTTGACCCATTGCTGGCTTTACAGATGGAGGAAGGGAGCCACGAACCCAGGAATGTGGGCAGCCTCTGGAAGTTAGAAAAGGCAAGGAGGTGGATTCTTCCCTAGAGTTGGACTCTTGCCTAGTGAGACCCAGGTTGGACTTCTAACTGGCAAAAATGTAAGACAATAAATTTGAGTCATTTTAAGCCACTATATTTGTGGTAACTTGTTACAGCAGCCATAGAAAACTAATAAAGACCCCCCCCCAATGATACTATTAAGTAACAATGCAATAGCAACTATAAATATTTCAGGTCAATTAGATGAGCTAAGTAAGCTGCCTATGATATACTTCCAATAGGTATTTGCCAGTAAGTTTTGTTTTGTATTAATGATGTAAGAAGACTGAATAACCTATAGGTGCTGGTTGAAAGAATTTTACTGGTGTATACTTCAAACATAGCTTTATGCCTTTGTTCATTTTCCTTACAGCTAACAATGATGTAATGACTATGAAGAAGATAAAAATCTTTGTATCAACGCTCTGATATGAATTTTAAAAGAATATAGGCTTTTCTATGCTATATAAGTTTAGGCTAAAGATTATACTTCTTTTCTGTATGTAAAATACCAATGAAAATATTTTAAATTATTTCTTGAACTTTTTAGATGGGAAGATAGTTTGATGTCTGGACGTGGGAGACATTTTTGTACATTTATTAGTTTTATAATTTTTATAGTTTTATAAGTATAATTACTTATTCTATTTCCATTAGTTATGGAAAACAAGAAAAATTCCTACTTTTGGGGTATATATATTTTTGTGAACTGAAAATATCTATTCAAAGCTCAAAACTGTCTGTGTTTACCTGTGGTTAAAGGCAGGTGTGTGATGCTATTCAAACAGGTCAGGGTGAACCATGTGGACGATAGGGTAGCCCCAGAAAACAGGAGGAGAAGAATTAGTTTCAGCATACCCCTGATAAAATCTGCAAACCTGAAAAGAAACAAGGTTCTATTATAATTCTTCCTGGATTTTTAAGATACTATTTAAATTAATGACACACTTCCATTAAACAATAATTTCTTGAAGACATTTCCACAAGTTCTTTCTAAAGCAAGTGACAAAACTTTTTTTAACTGGTACATTTTGTGTGTATGATAAACGTTACTTTGTGGGAAATCTTTTTTTTCCTCTTGCAAAACACACAAAATGTGATCTCTGTTCAAGATCTGTAACTTACAGGATGGATTCTGTGTTTTTAAATGCTACTTTTACTTTTGTTAAGTATTCTTCTATACTTTCCAAACATTCTATAATGAACACATATTATTCTAGTTTTTTTTTTTTAAGATTTTATTTATTTATTTATTTGACAGAGAGAGACACGGCGAGAGAGGGAACACAAGCAGGGGGAGTGGGAGAGGGAGAAGCAGGCTTCCCGCGGAGCAGAGAGCCCGATGCGGGGCTCGGTCCCAGGACCCTGGGATCATGACCCGAGCTGAAGGCAGATGCTTAACGACTGAGCCACCCAGGCGCCCCCATATTATTCTAGTTTTAGAAAACAGGCTAACTGGTTGACATAAACTGGCAAAGATGACTCTCCCAAAATTCAAACTTGGAGAGTACAAACGCTTACCCTGGAGCCCCCGGGTTCCTTTATGATCTGCTCTCTGCCTTACTAGTCTCCAGTTGGGCAGCCCTGCTTCTGTTTCTCCTACAAGTGATGGTTGCTTTTGCATTTGTCCCGTTTGCCTGGAACACTGGTTACTCCCATTCCTGACCTTTCTCCTGCTTTCCCCATAGGTCGTTCAGATCTCAGTAAGTCTTCACTAAGACTCTCTGTGCTCACGGAAGAAGTCCTCACCATCTATCCCGTCTCCATACCCTATTTCTTCACAGCACTGATCTCTATTGGCATTTCTCTTGCTCTTGCAGGTGTTTATTTTTTGTCTTCCCCATTAGACCGTAAGCTCCGTGAGAGCAAGAGTGTAGCTCTGGAATAATGAATACTACCCTCTAAAGGTTGTGACTTATGTTTCATAGCATTTTAAGTTCTCAAATTTCCTGCTTTTTTCTGAATTAACAAGAAATTGAAAGGCAAATGGCAGAGATGCTTATTGTTATGAACCGCAACTTTTCTATTTGCCCGTCACTTTTCCTCATCTGCTAACTGATGGCTGTACAGGGCACAGTTCTCTGGTTGTGCCTACAACTTACTCTGTCCTTGAGAATTGTTCCTATCGTTGAAAAACCAATCCCTTCCCAAATATAACATCTACCGTGTTTTTTCTACCTTGAAAATTGATCTTAATTTCTACTGTGATTACATTACTGTCCTTCTTAATACTTTCAAATGCTATCTTTTGTGCTTATTTGACGTGATAAGGTTAATCATGTTTGTAAGCGTTATCGAGACTAAAATAGCTTTCCTATGACAGCTGATGCCATCTTTTGGTGGAAAAAAATGGATGCATCTTTTGCCCAGGGACTTAAGTTTGTTCTCAACTATGAAAGTTCACGAGCAGAAAATTCTTATGTACTCTGAAAAAGGTTCCACAGCTTGATAGAAATTTCCCTCAAGAAAATCCAAAAACTGTTAAAATTTCACGCCCACCAAACACTTTTTTGATTTATGTTTTGGTATGCTGCAAGAATGTACTTGTCTGACTGGCAGATGGCGAGGTATGAGAGAATAAAATAGTTTTCTGGTACAATCAAAACTGAAAAAAGTTGAACAGTGAGGACGTTGACAGGGCAAGATCACACAAGAATAAGCTAACCAATGTGATCTGCTGTTTTTGTAGACCTACTCCTTTCAAATGGGGTAATACCATCAAACTATACTGTTAGGACATTTTGTAGTGGCCTTTAGTAACATAATTACCAAAAAAAAAAAATCACCTAAGCACTAATGTCTATAAGGAGATTCTGTTCTAGGGATCCCCCAAATGGTGTTATGAACATAACTTTAAAACGGATTCTAGGCCTAGCAGATAGCTACAATTGATTTCAGATCCCAAAGTAAGGGTAGTATTTTTTAGAACTTCCATTTCAATGAATTAAAAACAGAAATGTCCTCACTCTCATTTTTTCCTCTAGCTCTATTTCTATATAGATAAAATTAAGGGTTTACAGAAAGAAAATAAAGCAAAAGGTACATGTGAGATGTCATTTCTGATACACGATAGTTCCCTCTTTGACCTATCTGGTGCTCAGAATAGGATTTGGTTAATGATGACTCACTATAATAGGCTCGGAGATTTAATTAGAAAAGTTAGATAGGAATTCTGTCAAATATGACAGGTCAATGTATTTCATTATCCATGTAGTGATTTCCTACAAATGCTCTCTGCCTATTCCTCTTCTTTAGCTTTTAGAATTTATTCTTATATTTCCCGAACTTATAAAAACCTCAGAGTGATTTAGAAATTACAGTGTCAATTTATTCTTTCATTATCCCAGAAACGCTATGTAAACTGTAAGGTCTAGATATAATATTATCCTCTGTCAATTATGTTTAAGTATTCAGAAATTGAGGTGATTTACATATCTTATTTGATCTCCCCAAATATGTAATTAGATTCTTCTCTTTCTGGTAAAGTTGATTGCTTAATTTTGTTTTTGATGAAACAAGGTAAATGATTTGAGAAGTGAATGAGTATTATCTCCTTGGAAACACTAAGAATAGTTTTACAGGCAGTCACCTGGATGAGTGGTATTTCCCATTCTTTTTTTTTTTTCCAGAAAAAAAATGAGACTTTTTACTTCTTCTGACTCATTCTAAAAATGTGTTGTCATAATGGGTTAAGATCAAAGGGAGTTTGGTGAAACTGGAAGTCTTTATGTACATTTTTCATCAAAATGGGATAAACACAGGGATGGGGGGCGCCTGGGTGGCTCAGTCGTTAAGCATCTGCCTTCAGCTCAGGTCATGATTCCAGGATCCTGGGATTGAGCCCCACATTGGGCTCCCTGCTTGGCGGTAGCCTGCTTCTCCCTCTCCCACTCCCCCGGCTCATGTTCCCTCTCTCGCTGTGTCTCTCTCTGTCAAATAAATAAATAAAATCTTAAAAAAAAAACACAGGGATGTACCTGCCAAAAAAGACCGAAAATAAATATCTGCTAATCAGATCCTTCCTTTTCATGGAAAGTTCTAGAGATGCTCTTACAAATGATTCTTTTCAATTCTCGATAAGTATTCAATTTGCCTTTATTACTGTATCATCTTTCTCTGGGTTCCATTTGTAGATGCTGTTCTCCAATAATATGGAGACAGGCAGCTTAATTACGCTGGAAATACATCTCCATCCTCCAAAAACATTTTAGGGCAGACTGCTCCTGAGAAAGGTTTCTTGTAGCAGGAAATTCTTAATGCATGTGAATTTTCCTGTAGTCTGAACAAGTGCCCTTCTCTGACCTTTGCCTGTTTTATTTTCCCCTGAATTTTAGCATTTATTGAAAGCAGCTGTTTTTTTGTTTTTTTGGTTTTGGTTTGGTACACTCACATGTTTGACATAAAATAGTCTCACCTTGCCATAGCTATTCCAACAACACAGCCTCCAACTATGGACCAAAATCCAATCCAGCCAGCATCTACCTGTGGGGAAAGTGGCAGACACATTTAATATAAGACTATGAGGTTGCAATTAAGAAGGCATGAAAAAAAGATCCTCTCTAATCAATATATTATTCAATATATATGTATGAATTTCTATGTACATGTATAATTCAATATATAATCAACAGCTAAATGGCAACAAATCTAGAAAATATTATTTAAGAAAATGAATAAAATTGAAAGGATTCATGTGTGACTAATACAATTGCTCTAAGTAAGTACATCCTTGATTAACTTTTTGTTGGAATATTTAAATCAACAAAATAATCAGTTCCACAAACAAATGTTTTCAAGTATGTACTACATTGTACTAGAACTCTTAAGAAAATAGGAAAAGGACAGAAGATGGTTACTGACCTCAAGAAGTTTAAATATAACCAACATACAGGAAAACTACTAACAAATAATCAGGCGCTCAAACATGTGGCAACAATTAAAGATGTATCAAGAGTCACAGAAGAGAGAGCAAGTGAGAGCGAGAGAAATGGGGGTTGAGCACCTAGGGAGACTGCTGAAAGACAATTTGAGCTGGGTTTCAAATATATAGCTCATTCCACGCATGGGAAAACATTTCCAACCCTGCCATTTAGCAGCTTTGTGACCCTGGACAAATTTTGTCTTCTCACCCATAAAATGGCTAAATGAGATAATTTGTGTACAGGACTTGGATCAGTGGTCAGCACACAGGAAATGCTCAATAAAGACTGTTATTACTACCTGATAATTCTCCATCTATCTAATGTCCTATGTCTCTCCTCCCCTCATGGTCAAACTTTTTTTTTTTTAAGATTTTATTTATTTATTTGAGAGAGAGAATGAGAGACAGAGAGCAGGAGAGGGAGAAGGGTCAGAGGGAGAAGCAGACTCCCTGCTGAGCAGG